CTAGCTGACTGCCCTTCTGTTTTTAAGGCTATATTCTACCGTCGATATGTTGATGATTGTTTTCTTATTTTCACATCACGCGACCATGTTACTCCGTTCCTTTCCTATCTCAACCCGAAACACCCCAACATTCAATTTACTCACGAGCTTGAAAGTAATTCGTGTCTTCCTTTTCTAGACGTCAAAGTCATTCGTTCTAACGGTTCTTTCGCTACCACGGTTCATCATAAATCTACCTCCCCGAGATTGTTTACCAATTTTGACAGTTTTATTTTAATTCTGTACAAGAAATGTTTACTTTTCTCACTTATCTCTCGTTATTTCAACAATTGCTCCTCTTATGTATATTTCCACTCGGAAATGGAAAAGTTCAAGAAAACCTTCTCTCTTAATGGTTATCCTGCAACACTTGTGGATAGTTGTATCAAATCATTTCTTGATAAAATGTATAATTCTCGTGATAAAGCTCATACTTGCTCAAAAAAAGTTATATATTTTTGTTTTCCTTTCACTGGTCATCATGGTTTGCAAATTCGATCACAACTTAAGAAATTTCTTTCTTCTGCCTATCCACACATTTCTTTACGTGTCGTCTTTCGTCCTTTCCGTCTTTCCAATTTCTTTCCATTTAATTAAGGACAAATTCCCAGTGAACTGAAATCACATGTGGTGTATTCAGTTGTATAAGTGTCAATGCTGTGGTGCATTGTATGTTGGTCAAACTCGTCGACACATACACCCGCGTATCTCTGAACACATGGGTGTTTCACCTTGACTGGAAAGGTCAACCATGTCAGGCATACTCGCTCATATCCATACCACTAAACATTAAATTTCAACCTCGGATTTTAAAATCCATTCCACTGCTAGTTCTGAAGCAGATTTGCTCATTCGCGAAAGCCTTTTCATATCCAAGCTTAATCCTACTTTAAATGCCAACATTAGGTCAACTCCTCTTGACCTATTCTAATGCTTTGCTAGATCCCTAATTACTAACCATTATATCTTTAATTTACTAATGACAAGTTGTTTTTCATTCTTCCTCTTATTCGCTTTTTGAATACTGTAACCGTTAGAAACTATTCGTTTATATATAATACACGCTTGTAAATATATGGCCTTGAGAATCATTGACTGAAATTCATCATCGAATTCCCGGATCATACATATAACATGTATCTTGATTGACTGTGCTGGCAATATCCGTTTGCGGACATTACTACAGCCAAGCTTTCCTTTCACACGGATACGATTGAATATTTAATAATGGATACCAGTAATATTTGTTAGGCACTAAGGACAATGAAATGTTTTGTTAAGAGTTTCATTTTGTTTTGTTTTGTTAGTGAACTATGTCTATCGAAATTCATGTTTTGCAACTGACTCAGTAGCTAATTAATTACAACATTCTAGCTATGATAGAAAATGCATACCATGCAAATAGTGGAACTTTTTTTGTCAAAATGTTAGTTAATTTAAAAACTATTAAATATTTTCGAAGTTAAATTATGTTGACTCGGTCCAATTTATTTTGTTACTGTCTATCTAATTTCGGCAGAATAAGGTGGGGGCAGGGGCAAGTGAGCACAGCAGAATAATTCGTGTATTTTTACCTGTTTCTCTACATATAGGTGTACAAATAGAGAAACATATCATCGATAATAAATTCGCTGGAAGATCAACTCCATGTTTTTCATATCCAAGCTTAATCCTACTTTAAATGCCAACATTAGGTCAACTCCTCTTGACCTATTCTAATGCTTTGCTAGATCCCTAATTACTAACCATTATATCTTTAATTTACTAATGACAAGTTGTTTTTCATTCTTCCTCTTATTCGCTTATTTGAATACTGTAACCGTTTGAAACTATATATATATATATATATATATATATATATATATATATATATATATATATATATATATATATATATATATATATATATGTACTATTTAAAGCACGCGTAGGAGTGTTTTATCACATATAAAACACGACGTGTAGCAAAGTGTTTTATATGTGATAAAACACGACTACAAGTGCTTTAAATGACTTAAAAAAACGACTCAGCTTATACGAGTTGATTGGCGAAGTAATTTTTGAAATAAGCTTTGTCTAAACCGAGAAAATCAAAGCTAAAGTTTATGTAAATTAACGTGATTTTATATCACATATATAACCACGACACGCTTATGATTTTTCTTTGTGTTTTGCGCGCTCCTGAATTATTAATGAGTTTTTTAAATATATATATATATATATATATATATATATATATATATATATATATATATATATATATATATATATATATATATATATATATATATATATAATACTCGCTTGTAAATAAGTTTAATTGCTCTTAAGATGTTGTAAACAATACAACGAAACGTTAGCCAATAAATTTTATATTTTGTTATGTCTTGTCTGAAAGTCATTTGCTGGGCTTTAATTTTCATTTTTAATATAACTTTGTCAATGCTTTAGTTTGGTATAAGGTCACAAAAGACATGTGTAGTCATACAGAGTTATAATTTAAGCATGTAATTTGAAGGCATTAGAGCCAGCACATATAACAAAACGAACATGTAAATATTTTGAATCGTGATTGACGTAAAACCTATATACTATACCAATGGCAATGGGCAATGACAGGATCAATGCAAATTTGTCAAACATCTGTATGAATTGAGACGCGTATACCAAAATGATATAATACGCAAACATTTATTTACACAAAACTAAACATCGTGCCAAGTCGTTAAAATATATATATGAACACGTACCGTTAGCACTGCATATTTTCAATTTATGTAAAGGTGAGAGTTCATAGTTGATAAGCTTTATTAGCAAATACACTGAAATGTTCCAATTAAGTGATTTTATTTTGACAAATACATTTAATCTGTGCTATATTAATATACTATACGAAGGACGGTTTTTAAAAATCACAATGTATTAATAATATCACTGCGATCAGTGATCACATATATTTAGCAAGAAACAGACGACAACAAGAGTCTAAATCACTGGTCTAAATGCCGCGAACCATATCTATATATAACGTTTTTTCGTAGTGTAATTAGTTTTATTTCAAATATAGAACTTCGAAAACTGCCAAATGCGATCATTATGACAAAACTAAATTGACAAGTTCTATTATCTTAAGAAATGACTGTAGTTAATAACTCTGCCCAACGTACCCACCCTAACGACAAATTACGCTATATCCCAAAATCTGGGATGTCACGTGACCATGGACACAGGGTCTCGCCGTGTGACATAGGTTGGAAAAGAACGTGAATAATGAAGATGACATGGAACAATAGACCTTATGCATAATTACGTCACAAGGCTTAATGCCGACGAGGAATGCTGGTTTTAATAGTCATCGCCTTGGAAAATTTCTATAGTGGCCATTTTGAATTGTTTAATCTTGTCGGGCGATAACTAGTAAGACCAACATTCCTCGCAAGCATCAAGTTTTGTGACGTCATTATGCATAAGGTTTATTGAAATAGTTCATCACTTATTATAATAAATATAATAGCAAGTAAGATTTTAAAGTCATACATAATACACATCTAACATGGTTGTACGCATACAACGGGGAGAGCAGCAGGGGCAACTAACCCCCATCTACCCAATGCCCCCCCCCCCAACACCAAGCAAATTTAACTAATTTTATCATGTGATTATGATTGTTATGGATAATTATGCAGCCAGAAAGTAAAAAATTCATCCAAAACTTTATTGTAATCATATAAAGCAAACATTCTGTCACCTGCTGTTTACACTTGCCAATGTCAACTGTTGAGTAACATACACAAACTATTTGAGGAGCATTCATTATTGTAACAAAGAGGTCAATCATATATCGAAGACCGCTGAATAGTAGAGAATGTTTAAAGGTGATGAGTGGAGTATATAATTCCAGTTCTGTGCACAGTTAATGATATACCATGCTGTTCAGTTTAACACAGCATATCCACACAAGAACAGTTTTTGTCGTGGGAGATTATCAGTTTGAGTAGAAGGTATCACAAATTTAGTTTTGTACATTGTGTGCCATTGATCTGATATTCTGATCCATCCATATAATGTATTATTTTTGTAGATGTTAAGTTATTTTCCATACTAATGAATTTTAGGTAAGATTGTCTTGCAAGTGGGTTGTTCTGACAAAATTACCCAGCCAGTATCCAGTGCATTTATTCATCATTCTTGTATTAATCTCTAAACAAAAACATTTGTGTTAGAAAGCAAAATGACACTGTAATGAGTGATACAGAACTAGGTTCGAAGCGTACGAGGTTAAAGAGACGGTGGTAATAGTTATATCGGATTTTAAGAAGCAGAAACGAAATGCAGAATCGTTGTTTTCACGTTTGTTAACACAGTTATCCTGTTTGTTGTCAGAGGAAAACCCTAATCGAGAGAATATATGCCATTTATTGCTTAAAATCGATGAACAGAAAGACATTTGTTTGGAGGTATTAGATAAGCTTGGGGAAGCATACCAGAAAAGTGGGGATAAACAAAATGTATTAAGAATAGGTGATGAATCGGACAAAATAGCTGAGCAAGTGGATGTTGAAACACATGCTTCACGTCAATTTTTGTTATCGTTATTCAAGAGATCTGTGCATTTAAAAAAAACAATGTTGCTATAGCAACTGAATCTCAACCGACCAGTACACAACAGCTGGCCTATAAAATTATTACTACAGAAAATATGGAAATACCCTTGTTGGAAAATGATGGAGTACAAACTGAATCGAATAGCAGTTTGTCGCAAGAGACACCTCAAGTAAACAGTAACAATGGACATGAACAATTATCAAGTGGAAACAACACTACACTTGTTGACAATGAAATTGGAACACAGTCGTCTGAGTTGTCCAGCAGCCAATCGGAATTAAAAACGATTTAAAAGTGCTCGCAGAGTGGATGGACATTTGGAGCGAATTCGAATTCCTATTTTTGCAGGAGACAAAATGAAGTTTCAACAATGGAATGCCGCTTTTACTAGCTGTGTAGATAAAACGTCATTGAGTCCACAGTTTAAAATGCTTAGACTAGAGTTAGGCGATACAGTTAGGGGACTTGGATACTCGCAAGAAGCTTACAATGCTGCAAGAGCTAGATTAGAGAGAACGTATGGTGGCAGTCGGAGACAGGTTCAGAGTCATTTAGAAGAATTAAAAAAGTTGAAACCATTACAAGAAGAAAATGCCAAAGAATTGGAGATGTTAAAGAGAATAGTTGACAAGCGGATCTTGAAGCGCGAACTTTATACACCATTGTTCTTGAGAAGTTCCCGGAGGAGAAATTACTCTCCCAATACTACAGATGGCTAAGAGAGAAACAAAAGGAAGAATCCATGGAGACATTAAAGGATTGGATTTCCCAAGAAGCTGAGAACCAAATTCAGGCCTCAGAAATCAAGCATGGGTTTCCGAAGATACGGGCAGAAAGAGTCGATGGAAACGGAAGTAGTTCCAGTCGAGGCGGACGGACCTTCTATGGAAAACCAGTTGATGGAGGTGATAAAAGAGTCAAGAAGTGCCAAGTTTGCACAGAGATACACCCTATTTGGAAGTGTACAAAATATCGAGATCAGTCAATAGAAGACAAGTGGAATATGGTAAAGAAGTTAGGTTTGTGCTACCGTTGCCTTGGTGACAATCACTTAGGAAATGCCTGCAAATAGAACAGACAATGTAATATAGATGGTTGCAATGAGCCTCACCACTATTTGCTTCATAGGCCAAGGGTTTAAGCCAATAATAATAATAATACACATGGATATACCAATACTTGTGGATAATAATTGCCTATATTTGCTTCATAGGCCAATTAATTGTTTAATATAAGTATATAATCCAATAAGTGTCAGTGACAGTGTATTCTCTGTTAAGAACATTTAGTGTTTGTTTGTTTGCATGTTTACTCTTTCATTAAGACTATAAGTTGGTTGCTTTCTTGATGTACGAACTGCCGAAATTCATGCCTGCAGTTTTAACTGAGCCGCATGACCTACTTTCGGTTGTTCGTACATGGAGAAAGTGTCAAACACTGTCATGTTTATAATGTCACTTTAGACACTTGTGAGTTGCATGTCAACTCGTATTTCGACTTGTTATACTGTACTGTAAATATAATTTAGATATAGTTAGAAAATTGCCTAATTAGTAAATTTGGGCTTTCTCGAGGTATGAACAACTGAATTGTAGTACTGGTTAATACTTTACATTGTACCCACGATTTCATTTGTTCATACTCCTATAGGAAGTACTGAAAATAGTCATGTTTAATGTTATTGTTGTTTGTCTATAGAGTTTAGGAGGACCAGATTGGAAAAAAGTTGCAACTTTATCTGTTTATCCTCAATAAATAAAGTGTTATTATTATTATTATGATTCCTCTGAGGCATCCAGTAAGGAGAAAGATGACAATATAAAGGTTGAGTCAGGACCAGGATCTAATACGGAGGGGGATGACCAACAAAAGACATATGGAGCAACTCGAGGACAGGAAACAGAATTTATTTACGAAGGCAGTGGTACGAGCTATATTAACGAAGATGTTATTGAGGCTTTGGGGTTGCATGAACTGCAGAACATTGCCCAATTTGCGTCATGGAATGGCTACCGCCGTCGTCTGGCAAATAAACTCATAGAGTCCTTCACACCAAAGCCAAGCCTAATAACAACACCATCATCACCATCAACACAGAAGACAATGTCACAGACCCTTCCAAAATCTGGATTCATCTACCATTCATCGGGAAAAGAGGAAACATATTAAATCTTTCACCACTAAAATAACACGCTTGCTGAAACAACGCGCTCAATTCATCACTATTTAAGACACCACCAGCACTAACACCTTCCCAAGCATGAAAAACCGGACTCCTAAAGAACTACAAAGTAGTGTAGTCTACAAGTTTAGCTCCCCTGGATGTCAAGTTTCCTCTATCGGAAAAACAGATCGCTGTCTGATGACAAGGTTAAAAGAGCATGCCCACAGTAAAGAACCAGAGATTTACAAACACATAATTTCATGCGAACATTTCCTGTATTATAGACTATCTGTACTCTATCAGCCTCGCACCCAGGCTCTTTAGTAATCAATAGCGTTCAGACCACGAATCCCAGCGCGCCTAGCTCACCCAGAGCTCTGAACGCTATTAAATACTAAAGAGCCTGGGTACGAAGCTGGTAGTGTATTCTGTACTAATACACTATTTAATCTAGACGACGTCACTTCTCAATCAATTATTTTCAACGACTGTAGGATATTTGACAAATCCAGACATTGGTCTTTATTACGTTTCAAAAAATCTCTATATATTCACCGCCAGAGAACGGAACTTAACTACTGATGTAAAGCCTCTAAGGAACTCATAATTTTTAACGAACAGATATCATATTTCATTTGATCTTGTATATATAGTTTTGTATTTCTTAGTAGCGTGATTCCTGATGATGACTGCAAGCTAGTCAAAATGTCGAATTAAAATGTTAACCGTTTTCGGAGAGTCCATTGTTTTGTATTTCGTAAAATTACTCAGTGGTATCCGTAACTTTTGGCCAAAACTCTTTGTATTCAAGCGCTTTGTCTAGAAGGTTTGAATACGTCGTGTAGAAATATTTATTTCAAATATTTCAAGATATCGGGTTTTCACCATAGATATAATAAATTTTTGAAGCCTGATCGTGGTCGCAGCATCACCACTGGCGGCCATATTGGATCTTCCCAGGAGCGAGGAAATTTGTATATTTTATTATTGAAATTAACAACTCTGCAAGTATATTCATATTTGGAACGATGAGTTTGATGTTTTGAGCAGGGAAATTTGTTGTGGAGTATCGCGAATTGTAAGGGAACATAAAAAATAGAAAGGGTAAGTACAAATCATATATATTTCCCAAAAATAATACTTTTGTTATGTATCCAGGAGTGGCCAGATAGCAATATTTTTAAACTAAAAGTTTCTCGTATGCATTTTCGATAAGATTTGTCCCCATTACTGTACGTATAGCTTTTTATGCGTATTAGTATTACACAAAGCAAAATCTTGTAGTAATCCGTATAATTCATAGATATCTCTGTGGTATGATTAGCCAGATTAGGGATGAAAACTCGTATCTCAATTGACACAATAGCCACTTTCAAGGACAAATGTGCTAGTTTCGTCCATAGATATAATAGTTTCGACATGTCCATGCCGAGGTCCATGCATGATTTTGATTTTCTTGCATATTTTCTATACATGTTTGTATTGGGCTGGAAATATATTTTGTGTTATTTTACTGCAATTATATTTTATTGACAGTACTTACATTGTCTTCTATAGTGTCTTGGTAGGCAAGCCAGTATTATTAACATTTAGTTGAAGCAAGAATGGAATCAAGATAAAGGCCTTTAAAGGATTATACATAATTATAGTATCACTGTGTTTATTGTTGACAATCTGCAACTTAGTGTAAAAATCTCATATTTTTGAAATTAGATGTATGAAATTGTATTAAAATGTGATAAACCATTGTGTTAAAAAATTGTTGTTATTTTACTTGTTTGCATTTCAATCTTGTCTGCTTCCAATCATAGCAAAAAAATTATTTAATACAGGCAGGTGTTTTTAAATAAATATAACTTAACATTTGTTCATTATTTATGTTTTCTTTTACCAATGCACAAAAGCTTTTGCCCTTGTTTCTGTTTTACAGCATGTTTGCCCATATATTGCAAATATATGTTTGCTATTTGATAGGATCATAGGATCCCTGTGGTATAAAATTTCGAAATTTTGGCGCAATTTTAAAACTTATAAGTCATGGGGAAAGTTAATAGAGGTTCACAATGCTGTGCTTTTGGCTGTTGTAAAAGGGCAAAGGTGGGTGCTGATAAAAGCGAGTTAAGGAGTGACAGTGAGGGGGAAATTGATGAAGAATCGCATGTTAAAAGAAGTTTTCCAAGATCATTTCACAGGTATTAAAGATTTTTTTAAAACCAATTTACAGTACAGTAAATTAAATGTAAATATGGCATACATAAAATCGATCATTTATTAACAATTTTTGAGAGAACATTTGGTTCTTATTGTTTAAATATTATAATTAGTCTTTAATAATATCTGACAATATAGGGTGGGGATAAAGTATGCACCCTTGCCTTCTGAAGAGTATACATGACTACCATTTACACCCCACCATATTTCAGGAAGAGTTAAGGGTTTGGGGGAATTGAAGAATCTGAGTTTTCAATGAATCTGAGTTTTCAATATTCAACTTTAAAAATTCCAATTTTTTTACCATTTTACCTTGTAATGAAGACATTTGCCCTACCAGGCAAGGAGAGGGTTGGGCAAAGTGACCTTGTCAGTATACAGCCCAGCAAGCTTTGTATGGAGTAGAGTTCTAGTTATCATTTGCACATATAAACATGCACCAAAAAGTCGCCAATATATCTAAATTCTTCTGTAGGTTTCCTAAAGATCTACTTAAAAGAAAACAGTGGACACACAACATTCGACGCCAAAATTGGTCGCCTAAAAAGTCCTCCTTCATATGTTCTGACCACTTTAAGGAAGCATTCATCGATAGAACTGGGCAAAGCGTCCGCCTGAGACAGGATGCTGTACCCACCAGATTTAAGATGTTTCCAAGTCATCTAAAAAAGGCATGAGTTTTGTTTATGTAATTTTGTAAATGCAAGTCTTACTGTAAGACTACCTAAAATACTATTGCTAGCACAGTAGATATACAAGTTGGCATACCGTTAAAAACAACCTGTATATATGCATAATGACGTCACAAGGCTTGATGCCTGCAAGCAATGGTGGTCTTAGTAGTCATCACCCAGGAAAATTAAACAATTCAAAATGGCCACCATCAAAATTTCCCTGGCGATGACTACTAAGACCAACATTCCTCACGGGCATCAAGCCTTGTGACTTCATTATGCATAAGGTCTATTGTATGCATATTATGCCCTTCTCATGTTCAGCCAGTTCATTACCTAAGTTGCTAGGGTAGTTTCAAACTTAAAATACTTAATGCTTATGTAATACCTATATAATATTGCATGCCTATTGAAACAATCTTTCAGAATAACTTGATCCTGTTTCAATAGGTTTATTGATTGAATTGTCATTTTAGAATCAATGTAAATACTATAAGTCAGTTGTTTTAAATGGAAACAAAAATTGCTATTCAGGTTACCAAAGATCGCAAGTTACCTTCAAGACGAATTGATTACAGATCAGAAATGGCGGAGACTCACCCGGTATTGGAAACTGTATTAGATCAAAACGTGGAAAAAACCCAGGAAATCCAACTTATGCAAGAGGATCCTTTCCCTGATAAAGCTGAAGAAAGCCCCTCAGAAAAACAACCATGTTGTCAAGATATGACCCTGGATGGTGATGATAACCAGAGCTCATCAACAGAAAAGCTTTCTCAAGGAAATCCAACATTCATTCTTCAGGATAGCAATGTCAACCCGATAACTGCAAACAACACAAAAATGCAAGAGAAACTAAGAAAATCAAATAAGAAGATTGAAACCCTGAAGAGGAAACTGAAAACATCGCAACAACGGTCACGGCGCTTGAAGAAAAAGGTATTTTCCTTAAAAGAAGTTGTGCATGAACTCCGGAAAAAAGATCTTATCTCAACAGACTGTGAGCACATGCTTAACCAGACATTCACAGGACTGCCACTAGCCATAACAAAAAGAATGGTATCAAAAAAGAAATCACAGAAAGGATGCGCATACTCTCCTGAATTGAAATCATTTGCATTAACACTGCAGTTCTATTCAGCAAAGGCATATTCATTCGTTCGGAAAACATTTAACCTAGCCTTGCCCAGTCAATCACAAATTCGAAGATGGTACAGTAAAGTTCCAGCCGATCCTGGATTCACTGAGCCAGCATTTAATGCTTTAAAGCTGAAGTCAGAAGAAGCAAAGAAACATGGAAAAGAATTAATGTGCTCCCTAATGTTAGATGAAATGGCAATTAAAAAGCATGTTGCATGGGATGGAAAAAGGTATCAAGGTTATGTAGACCTTGGCAGTGGCACAGATGACGACACCCTACCCATTGCAAAGGATGCACTTGTTTTTATGGTTGTCAGCTTAGAGAACGCGTGGAAAGTACCATGTGGGTACTTTTTCGTTGACGGGTTAAGTGGAAAGGAGCGGGCAAACCTTGTTAAAGTTTGTATCCATTGGGCCATTTTAGTATGTTATCTGCTCTTGGTGCTTGTTTAAATCCTTTAAAGATGGTAACATACTTCATTCACCCACAAGATCCAAATCAGCGAATCTATGTCTTGCTGGACATCTGTCATATGCTGAAGCTTGTCAGAAATACCCTTGCAGAGTGGGGGATATTAATCGACAAATATGGTGGAAAGATTCAATGGGAATATGTGATACAATTACAAAAGTTGCAAGATGAAGAAGGCCTCAGGCTTGGAAATAAACTGAAGAAAGCACATATTAATTGGAAACAACAAAAGATGAAAGTGAATTTGGCTGCACAGTCTCTTAGTGCAAGCGTGGCAGATGCCATAGAATTTTGTGCCAATACATTAAAGATACCAGAATTTCAGGGATCTGAAGCAACAGTTACATTTATCCGAAATTTCAATCAACTGTTTGACATTCTTAACTCAAGAAACCCACTTGCCAAAGGCTATAAAGCCCCAATGAGTTTAACCAACAAGACCACATGGGATCCATTCCTTACTGATGTGTATGAATACATACTCGGACTGAAAAACACTTCTGGTCAACTAATGTGTAAGACAAAGCGGAAGACTGGATTTGTGGGATTTCTAGCCAGCATCAAGAGCATGAAGCAGATGTTTCATGACTTGGTCGAATCGGAACATGCCCCACTGAAGTATATACTTACTTACAAAATGAGTCAAGATCATTTAGAGTTGTTTTTCGGTGCAATTCGTGCTTGTGGTGGGTTCAACAACAATCCCACCACACAACAGTTTACTGCAGCTTACAAGCGCTTGTTGCTACGAAGCCACATTGAAGGAGAAAACGGTAACTGTGAGAAACGAGACCCAATAGACATTCTTAGTGCCATTCACCAGTGATTCATGCAATGTGAATGGTAAGGAGGTCACAATTACAAATGCTGCTCTAATACGAAAGTATGATCTGGTGGAGGTGAGGCATGCTGAAATGGAGGATTACTCTGATTGCCCAAATATTTCTACAATATCTCCATACAAGAAAGCTGCAATCTCCTATATAGCTGGATATGTGGCAAAGAAAGTCAAAGCCAGTATAATTTGTACCAAATGTTGCGAGGCGCTTGGTTCGGAAAGAACACATGCTGCTTCCAGTTTCCTCGCTCTAAAGGATCGTGGAGGACTATTCATGCCAACACAGAGTGTGATTAAAGTGTGTGAAGAGAGTGAAAAATGTTTTCAGAGAATGTTAGCAGTAACATGTGGACAGCTTCCCCATGCAACAGGAATTCTAGATGCAATTGTTGTTGCTGTGTTGAGTGTTTTGTGCATACATAGCTTGTTCAAGGAGCTCAATGATCATCAGTTTGATTCTCCAGTGGATCAAAACCATATCATACTTCTGACAAAGAAAATCATCAAGTGCTATTGCAAGGTGAAGCTTTTCCATCTTGGAAAGAAGGCCACAGAGAATGGATCGGGGGAAAATATTAGAAAAAAGTTGAACAAACTAGTGCTTTTCAACCATCAATGAAAATATATATAATAAAATGTTGAAATGGCATTTTGGCAAATGAACATACAGAACAACTATGTTGTTTATATTATAACAAATTGGTGTATTAAAATAAGTAAATTGCTTCAGTCTGTTTGGTATAAAACATTATGTTATAAACAAGCCTATTATTAAAATCAAGTAAACCCTGAATCAAAAGATGCTTACACGGACACGAAACTTGTTTTTCAACACATAGTTAAAAGAAATGAAGAAACTCACCATTTGTTCTTTATTTATACACTGGACCTGGCATATAAACCGCCTGTCTCGAGAAACACTCATATTCCGTTTGTCTCGAAAAACACTAACAATGTTAGCAATGTTACATCTTTATAGCCATAAAGTGTAAGAAATATTCTTCTGTAAACACATATTTCTGGCGAAGTGTCCCAGCTTTGATATTCCAATGTAAAATTCATCGATAAAAGGTTTTTACAGCGTCTTTAGCTGCTTTAGCGATGTAACTTTATAGATCTCATAATAAGGAATGGGAAGATCCAATATGGCCGCCGGCTTACTCTCATGGGAGAAACCGCTGAGATTTTTAGCTTCAATTTCTACATTAGAGATGCACTATCTAGTCTATTTATTATATCTATGGACTCATCCAATAAATACTTAACAGAATAGTACAATAATAATAGAAAAGTGTGAAAATGCCAACATTACCTAACTTTGTGTGACAAGAAAGTTAGATTACATTAATCTTACAGTCAGGTATTCTTTTCTTTATCACCTCAATACTCTGGTTGATGATTCCAATGGCCCCCATAAAATTCCAATGGCCCCCATAAATTTCCAATGGCCCCCATAAATTTTACTGGAGAAAATGTTTCCCCCACTTCTTGCCATTAAATCTCCATACCCCCAGACCTCTCAACTCTCACGCATTCGGTGTGAGTCTCACGCAATTCGCTTCAGTCTCACGCTCTCATGCCAGACCTCTCAATTCTCACACATTCGGCGTGAGTCTCACGCAATTCGCTTCAGTCTCATGCTCTCTCTCACGCCACGTTTAGTAAATCTAACGCATAAAAATTTTGGTAAGTCCGGAAAATTTTTTTGACCCCTAAAATGGTACACTGACCGAAAATTTTTTGGCGGGGGGGGGGTCGCCGAAATAATTTTTCCGGAAAAAATTTTTTCGGTACTAGTCTCACTCTTAACTTCTCTGCAAAGTTGAGAGGTCTGTACCCCCCAATTTTACCCATCCAAGGGAGAGTCTTGTATGGTCACACTACAGTAATGGGAATATGGGATAATCAAATATGGCATACTTTGTTATTTTTCTCTGTCCAACACCAGACAATTTTACTTGTCAAGTGTAAGATTAAGTGAGTAATAAAAAGTGGCTGGATATTCTAACTTTTGCTCCATATAATTGGACTTTGGTTGTGAGCAAAATGTAAAAAGACAATTACCCGTAATACTGGCCTTACTACATCCCTATTATTTACCTTGCAACCTTGAGCAGTTGTGCTATTACAGCAAAATGTGGTTTCAAATGACAGTTATTTTATGGCAATTATGATATTCCAGTGTGCCAGTAAGACATTTGTTGTTTGTTTCTCTTTTAGCATTATATCGAAAAGGTGATTGCAGGGTATTCAGATCCTGGAGTGATGTGAAATGGTCCTGACCTTGGGCAAATAAGTAATATATGAGAGGTGTAAAATAGGAAATTTTTTATTCATTCTGATTGACTAATAAAATTAGAATGGTGAGAATAATGATGATGGTAGTGAAATACAAGTTGTGATGATATTGGTGATGCACAAGTTGTAACGATACTGCTGATAATGAAAATATATTGTATTTGTAAATTGTAATGAGACATAAATAATAAAGAGATTGGCAGTAATGAATGTGTATGACTTGATCAATTGTGCTGGTGAGAAGGCAATATATTGCCACCTAGATGAATTAAGTCCCATGCCATTTTGTGTTCAAAACTAACTGTTCTCATCAGCTCCAAGCATAACTGGGAAAAGCTGGTTTCAATCCCGTTAGCTGATCTTGAAACTATGTGCACACATATAAATATTTATTTTTTCCCCTCATGAATTATATTGTTTAACCAAAACATCAGTTGATTATTTCATCTAGAAACAGTGTGAATGTTGTTTGAATTTGGTATGTTCACTCTGTGACAAGTGAAAGTGATATGTAATTCATGAATAATATGGTGATTTTTGGTTTCAGGATGTAAAAAATGAAATTTTACTTACTGATAAAATTCAGTGTAACCATATTCATTAAGCCTCTGTGTCTCTCTAAGCCCTACCTCCTCAATACAAGTAAAACTCTGCATAGCCGGATAGGACTAAATAGGTTTTTAATTTTACTGACAAAATTATGATGCATCAAAACACCCAATTTTTTAGACCAGCTGTGAATAATAATACTTCAATTAAACCCAAAGAATTTTTATGGTAAAGAAGTAATTATAGTATTCTCAGTAAGTGGAATAATTGACCATCATTATGGAAATTATGTAGGCTGAAGTATTTAAAATGTTTAAGAATGTATAATTGTTGGTTTTTAACCAAAGCCAAAGATATTTGAAAACACAGTATGATATGTCAGTCAGAGTCTCGGTGCTCAACTATCAGTGTATTATTTATAAAAAGTGTCGGTAGTCACAATGGTGACCACAGGCGGCCCAATCTCAGAATGAATGATCAGGTGTTGCTGGTTTTTAACGGTTTTTATAAACAAATTTATAGTCAACCAAAACTATTTTAAAAACATTCTTAAATTAGTCAAATAAATACATTTTAACAATAAAATATAGTTGACATGATAGTATAATACCTTTGCATTCTTTTAATTACTCCATGAGCTCATTTAGAGCGGTTGATGTAACATTGTAACAATTTGGGCAAATTTAGCGACAAACGGAACCAAAATCTCCTCAAATTCGGATACTGTTCAAAACACTTAGGGCTGCTCGGGCACGATCGTGGACGTGACGTAATCAATACATACTGACAATAACGCCTTACCGCCTTACGTGGGGTGGGACAGCATCAAGCGACAAACTATCGTCAAATTTGATATGCTGTCCCACCCCGGGTAAGGCGTTATTGTCAGTATGTATTGATTACGTCACGTCCACGATCGTGCCCGAGCAGCCCTAAGTATTTTGAACAGTATCCGAATTTGAGGAGATTTTGGTTCCGTTCGTCGCTAAATTTGCCCAAGCTACGATCAAACCATATTATTTAGAAAGAGAAATCTTTGTGAAAAGATGTGATCGAATTTGTTTTGGCGTACGACAAATTTGAGCTGAGATATTTGACTTTGAAGGCGATGCGGTCGTGCCGCCTGTGATTAGCCTTTTAC